CTACGAGTGACTACGTAAAATAATGTGTTAAGTTATCTCTTGATTCTTTGCAAAATATGAGTATATCGGAATTGAAACCAGAGCAGTTTGAGGCCCTGCATCATTATCTACTGAGGGATGATGTATTTTGCGTGCTGCCCACAGATTACGGCAAGTCCCTGATATTGAGCCTTATCTCTGATTGGTCTGGATTTGAACAAAGCGCGCTTTGACTCGTTCGCGTTCATTGGCTAGATCGTTCAATGAGTCATTGAGTGCGGGCTTTAAATTTGATTGGCGGGCGGCGGGGGCAATCGAATGTGGTCAGAGGTAACCTGACACGATGAAGATAGGTTATTGTGAAGAGGTTAGTGTCAAGTTATCTCTGAAGCTCAGGGTGGCCCATGGGAGTTCAAGTTCACACTTTGAAAATGCCAGAATGAGAAAAATGAAAATTTCACACAAAACTTCATGAATTCAATAATAAATGATAACCTAACTGAGCTGGCTTTCTAATTTGAACTGCATGCCAATCCTAAAAATCACACTTGTAAGTTGAAAATAATAATAAGTAACACAGTTTTCTTTTCATAATGTTTATAGTAGCAGTGCAAAAAGTCAATTTTGATGTAACATTACATAATATATTACAGGATAATTATCACCAATTTTTGATTATTGACTATAAACAGCATGGACATGTAGAAAATTTGATAACCATTACCCATAATGAATATGCCAACATGATAAAAATGAATATTTCACTAAAATGTATAACTTCCAGAAAAAGAAGCCAATTAGACTGCTTTTCCAACTCGGGCTGCATTTAAGTCCATTTTAGTGTTTCTTTTTTGAAAGTTTGACAATCATAAGTAACATGGTTTTCCCATAATGGTCATCATGGCAGCAGCACCCAAAATTGTGTTTTCTTCTATTTTGATGCAATATTACATGCTTAATTACATGCAATATTGCATGCTTAACTGCATAATGACCATCAGTTTTTAATAATAAAATATACGTATCATGGATTTTCAGAAAATGTGACTAGCATGGGTCTTCAAGCCCGTGGAGGTTTTAAGTCACACCTCGAAAATGCCAATATGTGAAAAATTAAATTTTCACCAAAAAACTGTTTAACTGCCAGAAAAATTTACCAAACAGACTGCATTGCCTACTGAAGCTTTATTTAAGTACCATGTTCCTTTCCTGTAAGTTTGAGAACAGTAAGTGACATGGTTTTCCTTAAATGGTCATCATGGGTGCAGTGCCCAAAATAGGGGTTTCTTCAAATTTTGATGCAACATTACATTATGTTTAACAGCATAGTGACCATCAATGTTTACTAATAAAATATTAGTATCATGGATATTCAGAAAATGTGACTAGCAAAGGTCTTCAGGACCATGGAACTTCAAAGTCACACCTTGAAAATGCCAATATGTGAAAATTAAATTTTCACAAAAAAAAAAACTGTTTAACTGCCAGAAAGAATTACCAAACAGACTGCATTGCCTACTGAAGCTGTATTTTAGTCCCATGTTTCTTTCCTGTAAGTCTGAGAACAGTAAGTGAAATGGTTTTCCTTAAATGGTCATCATGGGAGCAGTGCCCAAAATAGGGGTTTCTTCAAATTTTGATGCAATATTACATAATGTTTAACAGCCTAATGACCATCAATTTTTGATAATAAAATATTAGTATCACGGATATTCAGAAAATGTGACTAGCAAAGGTCTTCAGGCCCATGGAACTTCAAAGTCACACCTTGGAAATGCCAAAATGTAAACAAGACAGCACTGTTCTGTTTTTTTTTTTTATTTTTAACAATTTTTTAACATAAAACAAAGTCAACAGTTTACTGCCATTTTTATATGATCAACTAAGAAAATTGATGAGATGGGAAAAATATCAATAGAACAGTGTTAAATGTCCAATTTCCTCCATTCTGAGATTCTGAACATAGTGAATGATTGAATCTGACAAACTGCAATGATATGAGTTTATTTCCATTTTTGAAAATTTATTACACAATACATGATAACAAGTTTACCATCATTTTTACATAATCAACTAACAATGTTGTAAAGATGCAGGAAATGTCAAATAAACACTTTTACATATCTTATTAGTTCAATAATGAGACTGTTAGCATGCCTAAGAATTGAAGCTGAGGAAATGTGAAAAAACAGCATAACTTCTAAAATAATGGCCCGATTATGCTGATTTTCGAACTTGACCTGTGTTTTAGTAAGATTGATCACTCCTGTGAGATTCATGACAACAGGCCTATTGGTTTTCCTTGAAATGTGTTAACAGTGTTGCATATATGCTGAAAAGTGAAAAAACAGCATAACTTCTACAATAATGGCCCAATCATGCTGATTTTCGAACTTGAGCTGCGTTTTATGAATATTCATCAGCTCTGTAAATATACAGCCAAAAAGTAAAACTGTCTTCCACTCACGCTGAAAGTGCATGGCGACGGCGACATAGATGGCGACGACAGCAGGTGATGGCAATATGTACAGACATCTGTGTCTGTACATAAAAACAGCGTAACTTCCATAAAAATGACCCTATCACGCTGATTTTTGAACTTGACTTGTGTATTATGAATATTTATCAGTTCTGCAAGTTTCAAGCCAAATGGTAAAACGGTTTTTCACTTATCGTGTTATCGGTGTTGCAAAAATGCTGAAAAAAGTGAAAAAACAGCATAACTTCCTTAAAAATGGCCCGATCATGCTGATTTTCGAACTGCGTCTGTACATAAAAATATATAATGACAATGACAGTGCATCCAGCGACGTATTGAAATAATGTAAAATGTATGCCCTTCCTTGGGCTGTTTGCTTTGTTCCACAAAACTGTTGAGTAAAGTACTTTTCATCTCAACAACTTGTACATTATCAGTAACTTAGATCTAGTACTCGAGTTGATCTCTTTTCAAATATTGCCAGTGTGTTTTTTTAAGTGTTCCCTGATGAATCATACTATGGCTGGATTTTCAAGGAATGCACAATGCACTTTAGCAATGGCCAGAAGTTTCCGAAGATTCTTCTTCATCTCCGTAAAGGATTCACTGCAATTTCAGCCTTTGATGTGTCTCTTAATGACAGCTGAATTGCATGACCGTTGGGTGGATAAAGGACATCTCAGTCACTTTAATTTGATCTTCTCTCTCACAGTGATGGCCCAGCTCCATCAAGACACCATAATATAGTTTGTTTTACAGTGTGCTGAAAGAAAAGAAAGAAAAAAAATTGTTAATGAATTATAATATAACATTACAGAGAATGAAAATAGAAGATATATAACACATATTCTGTACTGTGCCCCTTGGGTGCAGAGGCTACTGAAAGCTCTCTCCTACAACTATACCACACATATTTGACTAAACAACCGACAGCCTGGTGATATGACAGAATGCATATCATCACTGTTTGGCCGAGGCAAATTTTGGTTTAACTACTCTGAAAACTTAAGATATTATAACAAGCCAGTACATCTTGACAAATCTTTTTCTCCTCCACAAATTAACCTGAAGTCTAAGTTTATCCAGTCCACTTACAAACCCAAAAATTAATCTATAAATAAATCTACAAAAATCAATCTATAAATGCTTGAAGTGCCAAGCTTCCATTTTCCAATGATCAAGAAATGCCTTATTTAAAGTTGAATTATGACAAATCTTAATCTTTATCAATTCTTATCCTCGAAATAATAAACTTACAGATAAATTCTGAGACAGGATCATTTGAATCCTCATTTCTGAGAGAGCCTGTGATGTCTTCATTCTCAATCAGAGGCAAAAACTGTTGGACAAATTCTGGGGTATATGGTGGTGCGATGACATCTAAAACCTAAAACAGTATACATAATATAATAATAATAATAATAAGTCAATCTGGAAGTTAATTTGTGTAGTATTGGTCACTATCAGGATGAAAGCTTTCCCAGGCACCCATCTATTCAAAGTGTTTGTTTAGGAAGTGAAAAGTTAAAAATTTCTCAACATGATGGACATGAACATATTTACATTCTTACTCAATGAAATAACAAGCTTAAAGTATGAATATAATAGAACCTGTGGCACAGAAAATGTTAAAAGATAAATCTACAAGCTACAGACTTTGACGCAGGTAAAAAATTGCACAAAATCTAGAGTACAGATAATCCTCAGTTTGCGATAAAAGCTCATTACACTGACATCGCTAATCCTTACCTCTGTGACAAAATGCCTGATCAAGGACATATCTGTGTCTTGGCGTTCCCAGCACTGTTTTATATATCCAGTCACAGGCACCACACAGCCACGACTGAATAAGTGGACCATCCTGTCCAGTAAAGTCTTTCGGAGCTCAAGCTGAAATTTTAAGATAAAAGAAAAAAATGGTCATATTATCAATTCTATAGACTTAAGTTTGCATGAGGCATTTAGTTTTCTTTTAACCACAGATTAATTAAATTTACTGTTGATTTTTAAAAAGAGACCTACCCTTTCTAAAACATCTAGTTCCTCCTGTGGAGATTCAAACAGCCTGATGAGAAGATCTAAAACTTTCTGGTGAAGAATATTATGGCAAGTGCTGATCTGTCATAGTAAAAAAAATATAGTGTCAATGATTGAAATTGAAATTGCATACATCAAAATAACAAGAGAAATACTTGACCTTAGAATCTCAGTCAAAAATATAAAATCATGAAAAAAATGTTAACTGTCCTTGATGGAAGACCCATTAGTTGGGAGACCCATTTTTGAATTTTTTTTAACGCCCTTTTTTCACTTAAGCATTTTAAGATTAATTCTGAATTTCAACAGGTATTCAAACAACTTTTAGGAAGAAACTCACAGTTTAAACTGACACAATGAATAAATAAATAATTAATCTTCGACTAATGATCCTTACCTCGTCCAGCAGAACTAAGTGCAATGGCGTATGATCTGTGTTCAGTTTAAAGTAACTGGGATCTGTCACTGTGTAGTCAATCCACTTCAGAAGGCCCATGGCCACAACTGGGAACCTGGGGAAAAAAAGAAGTGAGAAAATTCATGTCACTGTAGTCTTGGACTCTCAGCACTGGCCCATGCTAGTAAAATTATTATTTTGTCTATTATTGAAAAAAAGTCAAAAAAAAAAAAAAAAAAACACTTAAAACTACAGTCTAAATTCATATTAAATTTGGTATCATGCCATGTATAATAAAAAATAATAATAATTAGGCCACACTTTTTTATTTTTATGGATGACATCCTCTGGGTACCCCAAAATTGGTGCGAGAGGGCGAAAAAAAAAAAAAAAAAAGNACGCTGGTGGTACTAAAAACATGAAAAGTATTTGACATTAGAATCTCAGTCAAAAATTTAAAATCATGAAAAAAAATGTAAAATGTACTTGATGGAAGACCCATTTTTTAATTTTTTAACGCACTTTTTTCACTTCAGTGTTTTAAGATTGATTCTGACTTTCAACAGGTATTCAAACAACTTTTAAGAAGAAATTCGCAGTTTAAATTGACAATGAATAAATAAATAATTAATCTTGTTATACTAATGATCCTTACCTCGTCCAGCAGAACTAAGTGCAATGGTGTATGATCTGTGTTCAGTTTAAAGTAACTGGGATCTGTCACTGTGTAGTCAATCCACTTCAGAAGGCCCATAGCCACAACTGGGAACCTTGGGGGGAAAAGGAGTGAAGAAACTCATAACATAGCAGGCTGGACTACCAGCACTGGCCCATGGTAGTAAAATTATTATTTTGTCTATTATTGAAAAAAAAAAAAAAAAAAAAAAACACTTAAAAACTACAGTCTAAATTCATATTAAATTTGGTATCATGCCAGGTATAATAAAAAATAATAATAATTATTAATAAAATCACTACATAAAATCACTTACTTGATACACTGAAACAAAGTGCCTACATCAGCAATAAGGTCTGAAGAGCTCTTGTTCTCTGTACACATTTGGTTGGCTTTTTCTATGGCCTGTGTGGTTGGCTTTAACTCATCTTTGTTAATATTTTTTCTGACTCCCTAGAATAGAAAATTGATTTATGAATCACATTAAACTTGTCGCTAATGGTCCTGACTCTTATTAAAAACGAGGTTTGAAAATGGAGCAGCACCATCTGAAACTCACCTTTCTATAAACCTCAAATACTGAAGCAGCATACGCCAGGACAAAGATGTATTTTGATTTGTGATCTGGATTGATCTTCGATCCCAGCTTGAATAAACCTTCAGTTAATAGTTCTGAAAATCACAAAGGCAAGTTACATGCGAAAAAGTGGTAAAGTCCCTTGTCAAAGACACATTAAATTTTATTAAAAAACCAATTTCTAAAATGGGAAGAAATATTTTACTTCCACATTAGGTTGTCATTGTCAATCTCTGTTTCAAGAGACACATTTACTATGGGAAAACAAAAAATATATATTCACAAAACTTGGCATAGCATTTTTAAAGTGTTCAGAAACAGTTAATATTTCCATTATGTTATGTATATAGAACATTTTCTATATGACACAGTGTCTACTGCACATGGGACATTTTATCATGTTATACTTTACCTAGGAACTGTGGCCCTCTGATCAGTTCAACTGGGGGTGGATTGGGACCACTGTACATCTTGTATAACTGTAAGAAAATGAAGAATAACAATGACGATTAATATTATACTAAGTTCCCCTTGAGCTTGAGGACATATATACCAACTCTATCAGACTGGCTGGCAGAAAAAAAAACTGGAGTCAAGTAAAGACAAGATGAATATTGATGAAAAGCAAACTATTTCCAAAGAGTATAAATGGGTTTTTTACCTTTGATATGTATGCAGAAGGTTTGATGTTTCAACAAGGGGCTTCAATCACAAATGTGATACTTCATAGGTAGTAAACATAATTTAATTTAGTGTCTTTTAAGAAACAATTCATTTTTTTACCATCACTACACACGAAACAATGAAAAACTTATTTCAATGGAAAATTAATATTATTTTATAGCAAAAAATATCTTATTACTATTAAATTACATTGTGGGTTTTTCTTTTATTGCCAGACACTCCGGACAAAATGTCACAGCACTCAATAAAACAATTTTAAAAACAAGGTTATACAATACCTGTCTATTCCAAAAACTTTTTAGCCTACTGGCCGTTCAGGACACAAAGATCTAAGAAGTCTTTTAAGAAGAGACAGTGTCCAGCAACTTAAGCAATTTATCAAATTTTACTAGCCTGGCATTAATTTAAGAACATCTGACAACGTCCAGGCCAGCACAGCCCCTTATACTATCAATGTCAGCTACTTACTACTGTTATGTCAGCTGGGTTGAGGGCATTCCGTGACAACATGGATGCCAGTGCCTGGCAAGCTCTGGGGTAGGCTGCGGCTCCACTCAGCGCCATGGTCATTGGAGTGACGTCTAGTCCTCTGATAGGGAAATAATAAACAAGAACAGTGTCGTAAAAATTAATTCTCACATTATGTGGTTGATGATGAACAACTTTGATAGTCAGAGTTGCATCTTCCATTAAAGTATCAGTTCTATTAATTTCTTATTAATCTGAAGTAAAACACTTTAGAAATTGTCAAATCACATCAAGGCGAGATGAGTAGAACCTTTAAATTATTAATAAGCAAATAATAAATAATTAAAAACAATTCTCTTTGTTAAAGAAAGGTGAGGTGAGGGTGTCCAGCCACCATGGGGTGCCACTGTTGTTGTGAATTGCACAGTCATGTGTGATGCAGTCCAAAAAGAAGTTTCATATTTTCATAATAAATCTTTATAAATATACCTTTCTTTGGCTGATTTCTGCACTTCTTCACACAGTCTCCTAATATTGGACCCTCCTTTCTCCTGGGCTAACACATGCATTAGCACCTGACTGTACAGATATGTATGCTCTCCATGGCATACCATTTTCTGGAAAAAAAAGTGTAAAAAATTTTATTTGTTAGACACTGACAGTATTCTGATAATCCATGTAAACAGTTGTCCCCATTAAAGCAAATTTAATGAAAGAAAAAAACGGAATACATAGAGTATATTGAACTTATTTTTAGCGACATTCCACTCTATGATTTGAGACACCCCCGCCAATCCCCCCCTGTTATAAAACTCACTGTAAACTCGGTTAAATTTTTCTCCACGGCCTCCTCCCTCCCTCTAGGAATGCTGAGATGGAGGTCCTGAGTACCCTGCTAAACACCTCTATCTGATGACAGGCTGTGGACACACTGGTGATCTCTCCCTGGTACCCTGCATCTGATATCAGCTGGAGTGACAGGAACATGATATAATAATAAATATATACTGATATCTAGACACTGAGTACCCTGAAACATTTTATTTAAGCTAATAAAATTTCATAAGAAAAACCTGATATCGATGCTAATTATCACTCTATAGATATGACATAATTAATGCTACCCCAAGCTTTGAAGCTTCTTACTTAACAAACTAATCACAGTACCATTGGAAACTTTAATCACTATTTTTAAAATTTAACAACGTTTCCCTCACAATTATCAAAACTACCCATAAATCTTTTGAGCCTTGTTGTAACTTTCACTTAGTACCTTAATAGTAAAATTTAACATAAGGCAGTCTGGGTACTCCTCTGCAAGCTTATAAAACAAGTCTCTCCATGTGGGGTGGTCAATCATTTCTGCAAGCCAGCCTGGGGTCTGTGAAAAATTACATACAGTCAAGTTCATTTTTAACTTAAAAAACTATCATAACAAACAGATGACATTTTAGGTTAAACGCTCTTCAATGAGTCTTGTTTGTACTCTCCATCTCGTAAATACACTTAAATAAATTTAATCAATGACAAATGTGTCCTAATATTTCAAATGGTTTTCAGATTACGTTTTTGCTAATATTCATGATTGGTTTCACACATGGCTCCAGACAAAACTTAAAATTTTGGAAATATTTCCCTCCGAGCATAAAACAAATATAGATAAGGAATTAATCAACTAATAAAATGAATTAATTATATACTAGTGGACATGTCCACACACCTCTCCCTCATCTGTGAAAATGGAATCTGCTTTTTTCTGGTCAAAATGTTTGATGATCATCTGTTTCAAGTGCTGCTCCACTAGCTCCTGGACTTCTTTGATATCAACACCTAGCATGAATTGATTTATAAGTATATATCAATTAATCAAACTGATTAATAAAGAAGAAATTTTAATTCAGTAATGCCAGAAAAGTAGCTAACCTTTCTTTCTGTCTTATCAACACAATTCCTTGCTAATAAGTAAATTTTCAATCTTATGTTTTTATTCTTACTATTAAAACTTTAATAGTAATCTCACTGTAGGTTTGGAAAACTGAAGGCTATAAGACTAAGCATACTGTATTGAAAAATAATTATAAGGACAAACATACTGATATCACAATCAGATAATTTAATAACTTTGTAAAAATCTGCCTCGAACACTTTTATCTTCCTGTTAAACTCTACACACATTCAGTGTTGTGAGATAAGTCTCAACTGAATTCAAAACTGCACAATATCATATTCTTAGTCAACTTCTCAGAAAATCTAGATACCTGCTAATATCAACCACTCTGCCAGTAAATTAGCTGTCTGAGCTACAGCAGTGTAGTTATCAGATAAAAGCTCAACAACTTTCTCCGGGACACCACCAGCTTTGAAATACCTGGAATGATAAATATTTTCATCAGATCGTAAAACATTAACTGACTTTTATCTTAAAGAAAGAAATTAATAAAAAATCTAAAAATTGAGGGAGGAAACTGCACCTTAATGACGAAGTTAATGCTGATGGGGAAAAACCAAGATTAAAAGTGCAAATTAAAGGCTGAGACGTACAGAAATGCATCAATCATCCAAAATTTAGTGTAAAACAAATGGTTTTATTTTTCAGCTGGATCAAATAAACCCAATTAAAAATTTGAACCAAATCCACATGACAAAAACTGAAGAAAAATTTACCTTTCCTCATCAAATTTAAACATTTTCATCATTCAGGTATACTTTTGCTGATATGCTTATTAATAATTGAAGCTGAAACACCCATGATGTACAGGGTATAAATACTCATGCCTGTTACCTTTTTAACATGTAAAAGACCCCAGTCTCCATAATGTAGTCTTTGCTGGCAAAACCCTCCAAGCATTCTTCTCTGATGGCATCATTGTCTTCTTCCTCATGTTCTGGGGACTGAAGGAAATTTAAAATAAAAGGAAATCATTATCCACTTTATTAATTTTCATTGCTGATATATTGTACTAACTTAAGTAGCATGCTTTCCTGTGTCGTCTAGTAAGTACAAGTACTGGTTTCAGTGATCATTGTAAACTTAAATTACTATAAAGCATTCCTTCCATTGTCCAAGCTCACAAATTTACAGTTCAGAAGCTTTTGGCAAAAGGGGCCATTGGCTAGTTAGCACAAAGTTTTTGTTGGCTTAAATTAGGATATGCTTTTACTGTTATGCTAAAATGTTTTGGGGTGATTTACACATTCTCTCTCCAACTGGTATGATATGAATGGATCTATGTATCATACACTGACCCTAAGAAGGTCTACAAAAGCACAAACAGAATAAAACAAAATGACAGAAGTAAGAGCACATGTGTAAGAATGAAGACAAAAGTTTGCAATATCATACATATTTTGTGCATTTGAAAACTGCGTATAATTTTGCCTACATTGTCATATCCTGCAAAGTGGTTCATCTTTCCTAATAAAGACTTTAAAAAACAATAAAACTCCTCAAATATGGGATAATTTCAACAAGCACTACTATTATTACTAGTTAAGTAAAACATGTATGTACATGATGTAGTCTGTGATTGTGAAGTCAACTTTGTTTACACTGGTCACAAGCCGGTATCTCATTTCATAAATTGCTGTAAAAAGTACAAAAATCTTACCGCTGGTTCATCATCCCACATAGACTCCTCATCGTAATCTGCCATTTTCTACTAAAATATTTTGATTTCAATGATGGAATAATTATAAAATCAAAACAATAACAGTCGATTTCAACTTTTACTCTTCACCTTCCACCATCTTGACCTAGTTTCATTCGTGCATCATCGTGACAATATTTATTCTCTTTTTTTTTGTAAACAATAAAATGTACCTTTTTAAATGCAATGTACAATCAAAAGTAAAATCATTTTTTCTTTATCCAATAAGTTTGCCTTAATTTGAAGAAAAGAAGCTGACAGAGAACTAAAAACACGTGTGCTCTTCTAAGTTTGGAGATTTGAAATATCTTCGAGCCAAACATGGCATGTGAACTGGAAGGCGTGCTATGCCAGCTTTTGGTGCCAGATAATGCGTCTATAAAACAGGTAAAAAGCATGATACACTACACACCAACATGTCTAGCTCTGTTTTTGTTTTATGATATTCTGTGTTTAGCTTTCTGGTCTTTAATCAAGGGACCTGATCCTGGTGTTTTCATGAAACGTCTGCTAGTGTTGGTTCCTGATGCAACACGTGTTGTTGCATACCTGTAGTTGCCATTGCGTCGCTAAAACCTGTGCGATGGGCTGATATAACACAGCGAAGTTGTTTTGATGGTTTTTAGTTTTACTGTAATTCTTCCTAAGGTGCAGGTGCACACTCCCTCCCTCGTCCTTCCCCCTCCCCTATCTCTCTCTCTCTCTCTCTCTCACACACACACACACACACACACACACACACACACAGAGAGGGGGGGGGGGACACGTTTACATTAACAGAAGTTAAAAAGATATTTCACTTTCATGAATACAGAACTAATGCAGTACACATAATAATCAAGTGCAAGTCTGCTCTACTTTTGGAACACTCTCATTATATTTTCCAGGCAACAGAACAATTAAAACAACTCTATAAAGATCCTAACATTGTGCCAGTTCTTTGTGGAGTCATTGGAACATCACAGAACCCACAGGTAAGAAGATTAATTTAGATAATAGACCTTGCATTAAGGTTAACTGAGAAATTAAGCTAAAAATGTGCTGATAGAGCATATTCAAAACAAGTTGATCTGCAGACTAAGACCGCATTCACAACGAGTTGAGCCATGGCTCTACAAAGTCACAAACTAAATATGGCAGACATACATGAAAGGAAAACCGCCTAATCTTTTAATAGTCTCTCTGCCTCTCACACGCCTCCCCATGTGTCGTCCCAATGGAGTCGAGATTTAATGACTGTACCCCCACAGGGATGATGCATGGGGAGGCGTGTGAGAGGCGGAGAGACTATTAAAAGATCAGGTGTTTTTCCTTTCATGTATGTCCGCCATATTTAGTTCGTGACTTTGTAGAAACATGGCTCAACTCGTTGAGAATGCGGTCTAACAAATTCACGGACTAAATATGGCCGATCCACTTCAAAGCAGACACGCATACATGCTGCTAATCCCCTGATGGTTTCCCTGCCTCCATAGCCCTGTCGCTGCTGGGACCCAGCAAATAAATCTCGGAGCCAAGATTCAGTTTATTTAATGGCACATATGGAGAGGGGGAGACCTTTAGGGGATTAGGGCAGCTTGCTCTGTAGTGAGTTTGACCATATTTTGTCAGCAGATTACTTAGTCTGCGGATCATCTGCCCTGAATGCACTAATAGAGGAAAAGTCATCATTTAGAGGGTTATAATAGGGTTGATTTATAGTGTGCCTTGATTTTTTTGCAAATTTTGATACCATCAATAAAAGACTGGTGATTTATTCACACCAACATCAAGTGGTTACAGAGCGACTCAAGTGATTACAGATGACGACCAATAATTTTTTTTTTGATTTTTTAAACCAAACGGCGATAGGATAATGTTGAAAAAAAGTGAAAGGCTACATTTGCCATTAGGATACCAGCATGGCTGATCACATGATGATATATAAAAATGATAACTTACATTTACTTTGTAACTGATTTTTATTTTCTTTTTTTTTTTAAATAAAAGCTGTGTTGTGTTTCAGGTAAGGCAGTATGCAGCTGTGTTGCTTAGAAGAAAAATTTCCAAGGCAAGGCAGTGGAGGACTGTACCAGAAAATGTGAGGCAAAGGTGAGTGGTATATATAAATTTATGATGAAATGTTTTTACAATGTAAAAAATTAATTTCCTTTTTTTAAATTCTTTTGTGCAAGCAATTATTTTTTTTACAAACTTTAGAAATTGTGTTATTATTAAATAAGGTGTTACTTTCTTCCAGCTTGAGGGATAATCTCCTCCAGGTGGTGCTGCAGGAGCAAGAGAAGCTGGTGCGGAACTCTGTAGCCCAAGTTGTGGCTGCAGTAGCCAAGCACGATGTTCCTTCTGGGAAGTGGCCACAGCTTTTCCAATTCCTCCAGCAGTATACTAAGAGTCAAAATGTGCAAGAAAGAGAGGTATAAATTAAAAAGCAAAAATGTCCATATTGTTCATGATATTCAAACTATGTATAAAATACTGAAAAAGATGTGACAGAATTAGTTTTGGTCGTCAAAGCAACAACAAATTATATAATTATTTAGTTCTAAGTATAGTTCAATAATAAATCTGGAAAATGAAAAAGATATAAGGCATTTGGTTTTCTTTACCATAAATTACACAATTCCAGTGTTTTTCAGATTTTCAGCTGGTATGCTTGTCTTGAGTTTAATAGTATCAGTTCACAGATTTTGCCTCATTTCTTTAAATATAACACAGTCAGTGTGTAAACATCTTAATAGTCAGTTCCATTATTTATCACATTTTGTGGTATGTTATCTGGTTAGAGGACTGTTTAGTAAAGAAGATTAACTTTTCTGTGCCATGTTTTATGATATGCAAGTCATGTATGGTGAATATTATAATTATCAAACAACTTAAATTTCTAGGTGGGCATGTTTGTCCTTAGCACAGTGTCATCTGTGGCACATGAACAGTTGAAACCACATCTGCGTTCCATGATGTTGCTGTTCTCTGCAGCTCTGGAGGACAGGGAGTCCAGAACAGTGCCCTTCTTTGCCATTCAGTAAGTGAAAGATCTGTCCCTTGAGAAGCTATTTTGTTGCTGTGATTTATATATATATCAAAAATGCGCATTTTTTGTTACTTGTTTAATGAATATGATATTTTTTTCTTAATGTATAGTAAACGAATAATGCCATAATCCTCCTCCTCAAAAATTATGAATTATACTGAAAAATACTGAAAAATATGGCATTCCCTTCTTCATTACTATAAAAAATTGCATCTTCATAATTCAGATTCTTGTCACTCTTTTTTGTAATCTTCAGGACAATGACCAATCTTGCCTTCCAAGTTGGTTCTGATGAAGTGGTATGTTGAAATGTCTTCTTATAGGCATACAATGCATGTTAGTCCTTCATAAAGTTTAGCATACTTAAATCTTTTCTCCTTATCACAAAGGTGTATCCTATCCAAAACTATAGAGAAATTATGACCCACTATGTATAAATCTTTCTTCGAGTTTTAAAGTTTTTATTGCTTTGAATGAAATTCAGCAGTCCCTTTCTTCATTATAGCGACTGAAAAATTAGGAACTTAGAACTCAAAATTGGGTTTATGAATGGTAATTTTGTCAGTAGTTTCAGATATGGTGTATGTTTATAAAAAAGGAAAGTTTTAAGGGACTGATGTGTAATTTTTCAAAAGCATCTCACCAGATGAATATATGTGATATTATGTAAATCACCTAAAGAAGAAATTTAATAAGTTAAATTGATGTGCACCTTTACAAGTAAGGCATCTTTTAATTCAATACTGAAGTTGAAAATAATATGGTATTATAATTTTATGATATTTTTGCAGCACCAGTTTCAAAACTTGATACCCAAGGTTCTCACAGTTGTAAGGCAGCTTATCCAAATTGATGAGGTAAGTGCATGTTGAATAGTGACAAACATGCACACACCACACACACCTACCTACACAAAAAAAACGCAGACATACATGAACACATGGGCACACACACACACACTAACACATATGCCTGCACACACACACAGACACTGACTCTGGTCATTATCATTTTTTAGTTTTTTAATTCAGCATAACTGATCACATTATGGCTTGAATTTTGTTTATCCATAACACACTTTGCAGAATGGATTTTTTGATACATTTGGCAATGAATAAAATTTATTACTAACATTCACATTGCCGAACTAGGCTCTTCCTGAACAATTTTTTCCAAACAGGTGAAGTTATTCAAAATCTACTGTTACTATATATAATATTTTTTCTACTTCTGTCCCAGGCTCAGGCGTGTGAGGCTCTGGAGTTATTTGATGAGCTGGTGGAGTGTGAGGTCACTGTGATGGTGCCCCATGTCAAACTGATGGTAGACTTCTGTCTGGAGGTGAGGGTACAGGCTGTGTGGAAAATGTTGATAATTTAAACGGATGGTAGACTTCTGTCTGGAGGTGAGGGTACAGGCTGTGTGGAAAATGTTGATAATTAACCAGACAAGTGCGCTCTGATTGATGCACAATATATGATAATATTATAACAAAGACATTTAGGGTAAGTATACTGATAAACGAATGTGACAATGTGCCATTTAGATTTCATTTAGATTTCATTTAGATTTTATAATAATAATAATAATAATAATAATAATGATATTATTAAATGAAGTGTTAGTAGTAATAGGTACCTTAAAAGACTACCCCTTCAACTGAAGTACTAGTACTGCGTATCTTGAACCCTATCTGGATCATAAATCATCCCCTTTAGTTTTATTAGACCAAAGGGTTATATTTATTGATTTTTGAAATAAAAATATGTATATTGAAAACCTAAATCTTTATGTGATTTGTACATGTTAATATTCTTGGATTTGTTTTTCTGTCAGGTAGCTGCTAATGAAAAGCTAGGAGACAGCATCAGAATTAAAACATTATCCTTCATCAGCTGGTTGACAAGACTCAAGAAAAAAGTATGCAAATTACATGCTTATATTTTTAAAAATTCATGTGCAGATAAAAATAACTTTGTCAAATGTTTTAGTATATCAGTTTGTTGAGTAATGGCATTTTGTTTAAAGTTATTAAAACTGTATTTTGTGCAAATATGGGTTTTATAAGACAAGAGAAGTGAACCATATCTAGACGAAGCCAAATTCCTTGACTGCCAATAGTTTTTATATTTTTCAAGAATGACAATTATTTAACATTTTGTTTTTAAGTACTGGTTAAAGAAGACTCATTTTGTAATATTGAATTATTTATTTAGGCACTTCTCAAGCACAAGCTGATCCAGCCCATCTTAAATGTCCTGTTCCCTGTGATGTGTTCTCCCCACCAGGAGGGGAGAGGAGGAGGGGAACACATGGAGGGAGAGGAGGAGGAGGAAGAAGATGAGGAGGAGGATGAATATGGGAGTGAATCCAGTACACCAAATAAATATGCTGCACAGGTTAGGCATCAGAATGGCAATGGTGGGGGGATGGGGACTAACAAAAACAAAGAAACCAATAAAATAAGTAAATAAACAAAGAAATGAACAGGTAAACAAAAAAGTAGAAGAAAAAAGGTGAATGGTGTTTAGACAAATCAATGGAAATAAATCTTGGTTCAGAATTGAACATTGTAATGTTTGATGTACCCTGAAATCCTAGCAGTTTAGAAATGTTTTTGCAGTTTTTTAAAATTCTATCTTTATTGTCTTACAGGTTATGGATATGATGGCACTACATCTTCCCCCAGAGAAGTTTATTCCAAATGTTGTAAGTATTCTCTGGCTGAACCAGAAAGAACTGTTTTGTCCCCCCCCCCCCCTTTCATCCACTGTATTAAATTAAGGCAATATATGGCATTTCAGCCATTTAAGGTGCAGTTTCTATGGTTTCTTTCTTATTTTTTCCACGAGGACCCCAGTGTGCCTATTAGTCTTTTTTTCCCTTCCTTCACCACCCCATCTCCAGTCTGAGCAAACCATTCAGCATATGAATTTTGACCTCTCTTTCACATAAGCGCTAAATTAATGATAAGCTTAAGTATTTTCAACACAAAACTTAAGTGAATATTATTTTCATTCATCACTACACTGCTAGATGAGGTTTGTAGAACCAGCTCTGCATAGTCAGAACCCCCAGGAGAGGAAAGCTGCTTTCATCACAGTGGCTGTGATAACAGAGGGATGCTCTGACCACATCAGGAACAAGTAAGATTTACTAAATGATGAAAAATTGTGTTCCATTTCACTGTCAAGCATGATTTAAGCCTAGACTAGTGTTCAGAAATTTTTAGAGCTTTAATGATCTTATTATTCTAGGATATAATGTTTTATGAAAGATCAAGATATGAACGAAAGTCCATCTCAGATGGTCAGAAATGTATGTTTGTACTTTTCATTATTTTTTAAGAAAGAAAGACTTTCCACTGTAGCATAAAGGGTATGTCATTGAATAGTTCAAGCTATTTGCCAACAAAAATGTAAGATTGGATATTAAACAAATTTTAAAACTTACATATTTAGTATTTACATGTTTTCTCTAAAATTTCATTTCCATCATTTCAGACTGATGGCTCCACTGTTACAGAGTGTATGTAAAGGGATCACAGATGACAGCCAGCAGGTGGCCAATGCTGCCATGTTTGCCCTGGGACAGTTCTGTGAATTTCTACAGGTTAGTGGTCATTTTCAGCAGGTTTGAACTTATTTCAGATGACCATTCCTCTCCCTTCACATCTTTTGTTGTGGGTGTGAAACTTTTGGCAACTGTGTTCCAACCAGTAAAGTTAAAATTCATGGCACATGAATTAAAGTAAATAACAAGTTTTAGATTGTATGAAGAGAACATGTGGAATGTGGTCTGTGTATTTTTTGAAGCCTACTGTGTAGTAGCCAAGATAAAATTTTTTATCAGAATCCAGAATAGCTGGGAAAACCAGACATTCCAGAGCTATGAAAATTGTTCTGTTCAACAACGTTTATGAGATATAATAATTAATGGGTATGCTTCAAAATTACACATGCCTGTAATGTTTATAAATTCAAAAAGGCAATTTTATGATTACACCCCTTTTTCACTATTATAAGTAATGTTAAGTAATATTAATGTGTATTCACAAAATATTGATATGTATGATTAATAAATGATCAATTTTACAGCCAGACATCAGCAAGTATGCCTCGGAACTTCTGCCCCTGCTATTTGACTATCTCAACAAGGCAATTAATTCAGCAGACAAAAACCCAGGGGGACTGGTCAAAACTTATTTTGCTTTGGAGACCTTCTGTGAAAATCTTGGTAAGTTTTTTCATATCAATTTAGAATATAAATGTTGTTTTGTATTAAGATTCGAATGAGATTTAATTTACTCAGGCCAGGTTTTGTTCCATGTTTTTAAACAATAAACCCATTTTAACATTTGATACCTGCTGTGTCTTATAGCAGGAAAAATGCTTGACATTTGTAATTTTGGATAGTAATTTTAAGGGCCACGCATGCAGCTGCATTGTTTTACTGGCTCCCTGGGCTATTTAGATTGTTTCAGATTGAACAGATTGAAAAGAACCAGGCATAACTTGCAGAGCAAGCTCATCTCATGTATCAAGGATATTAAGTTCTAAACACAACCTTTAAATTCTATGTCTTACCAAATATTCTTCAGGCAAGGATATTCTTCCTTACCTCCCAGTCCTGATGGAGCGGTTGCTGAGTGTGTTGTCATCTGATGCCTCTTTGAGAATGAAGGAGCTGGCATTCAGTGCAATAGGAGCTGCAGGTTAGGATGCATTTTGATATTAATATGAAAAGAATAAAAGAAAACAGGCCAAGATTGACAAGATTGTTCTTTTTGTTTAAAAACTGGGCATGTACAGGAGAAGAGAGGGACACATTCCAACCTTTTTCTGAACTGCTATTCACTTCCCTGAAAAGGATGGCATTGAGGGGAGGTGGCAAGTTAGTTGGACACTTTACATGTACTTTTTTTCTAAGCTGCCAAATGATTATTTTTGTTGAAAAAAAGTAAACAACCATCTTCATTTCAAAACTTTAAGAATGAAAGTTTTATATGTAATGATAATGAGATTAGGGATAGCTTAGCACCAGACAAGATGCCGCTTACTGCATGTAAAAACTAAAATTCTTAACTACAATGCTACGTTTATATATTAAACTTTTAGCCAATGCAGCAGAGGAGCAACTACTGCCATATTTCCCTGCAATCATGGAACAACTGAAACTTTACCTGGCACCCACCGTGTCAGCAGATCAACTCACAGTTCAAGTCCAGGCTATAGGTAACTGAAGGCAAATCTCTATTGGACTGATTTATTAATTAGTAGATTGTGTTCTTTTACTTATAATGTGAAATGCTGTAGGGAAGACTGACAGGTGTCTCCATCTAGTGATCAGTTTTTGAAGAGTGGGAATAATGGCATTGTAAAAGAACATGGTGTTAAATTGATGGAAAATGATGGTGAGGCTTTGTTAAATTTCTTAATTTTCCTTTAAAATAATACTAATAATAATAATAATAATAATGCACTTTGTTTTTTAATTCAGATACTCTAGGTGCCCTTGCCCGCACAATAGGCAAGGAAAATTTTCAGCCTCTAGCAGTGGAGAGCATACAGCTGGGAATTAACCTTCTGGTCAGCACGGCAGACCCAGATCTAAGGAGGTGTGTCTATGGTCTGTTTGCCGCCATTGCCTCCTTGGGGAAGACTGATATGGCTCCATACTTACAAACCATTGTATCCCATATGCTTGACTCAGTTAAATCTACAGAGGGGATTACAGTAAGACCCACAGCTTGTAATATTTCCTTGCTTAAAGCTAAATTTTAAGTTTTTAAAATTTTACAGCTTCAGCTTATACCAAAAAATAAAAAGTTTCACAAAAATTTTTGGACATAAATTATTTAAGGTTGCAAAGTTTTTAACATAAGTGTTTGATTTTTGACAACATCACATGTTTTGAGAATAAAAGCAGCTGGCTCTCAAAACAATATTTTACATATTAATAAATGCTTCCTAGATTAGCTTTTATTAAATCTTTTATTTGAAGATATTTCGAAAATTTGTATATTCCTTATTTACACACACAAGGAAAACAGTTGAATCAAAATGCTATAATATAGTATTATAGCCTTCTTATCAAATTCTGTCTCAGGCTCACTATAACGATGAGGACAGTGCCTTCCATGTGTTTGAGGATGAAGAGGAAGAAGAGGATGTTGAGGATATTGTTGATGAGGAAGATGAGGATGATGACATAGCTGGGTAAGATTATATAATTCAAAAGACTGCTGTATTTAAATTTTTAATTAAATTTTAAATTAACTTTAAATTTCTCCTTCTTTGATCTTTATAGAAGTAAGAAAATAAAGAGTGCAACATAAAATGCACTTTAAATGAGAGAAGGCTTTAGGTTTAAAAATACTAAGAATGTTAGAGCCTGAAACTCCACTTATTGTTCATGGCTTAGTCCAAAAGCATCTGGATTGCTGAGAGATTAATGTTTAATTTGAAATGTTCTTCAGATTCAGTGTAGAGAATGCCTACTTGAATGAAAAGGAAGATGCTTGTTGTTCACTTGGAGAAATAGCAAGTCATACAGGGTGAGTAGAAATATTACACCAATATGAGAAATAGCATGTCATACAGGATGCCTGGGTAAAAAATATTGCTGAGGAAAGAAACAAGCAAAAATATTTTACAGAAGATTGAGGTGTTAATAGATAAAAATTAATTGAAAGAAATGATGCAATAAAAGCTATAGTTATTGTAATTGCATATTTTATCTGCTAGCTAGAAATGAATATAAGATTCCCTGGTAGAAAATATGTTTTAACTACAAGACAGTATAAGAAGAAAGATAATTATATTGAAATTACATGAAAAAGTTATATATTTTTCTCATAGTTATTTAGTGATCACCTCTGCATACAGAATTCAATATCTTAATCAGTTCATTGATATTTAGCTATCTCTTTAATCTTGTATTGGATAAGTCTATCAAGTCTATTTTTCCAAAATTTCACAAATGTACATTTAATTTCAGAGCAGCTTTCATGCCATACTTACAACAAAGTTTCCAGGCAGTTACCCAATTGTACGATCACCCAGCACCTAACATCCGTAAAGGCTCTATTATAGCAGTGGGGCACCTGTGCTGCACCCTAGGGGCAGTTGCCATGGAGAGTGGGGACCAACAAGCGCAACAGGGTTAGTATTATATATGTTTTGAACTGTAAGAGTAGAAGCCAAGTAACATTTCAAGAAGATCTTTTTATGGTCTCAATACTATGCATAGTATATGATCTACTGGACCAGGTAAAAAATTTGAGCAAATGGAAGTCTATGCTAAATGTTTTTAGTTGGTAATCTTGCTTTTTTGTTTTCCTCCCAACAAAGTACATGTACAAATTTGATGGCAAAAAGTGTAAATATAGCAAAAAGGGTAGGATTTTGTTTGTTTGTTTTTTTGTTGTTTTTTTTTGTAATTTCACAAAAAATTAAATTTAAAAATATTTTAAGGTTACTGCAGTTATTTGATTGATTTACATCTAGGCATGATTGAGATGCTATCCACCACTGTCCCTAAACTGATCAGTGTGATTGAGAAAGACTCAGACAGATTTGTTGTCATGGCAGCACTACAAACAATCCAGTCCATGCTGGAGAAAGTGAAGGCCCCTATTCTACAAGGTCAAGGCCACCTTGAAGGGATTGCTAAATGTGTGAAAGATGTGTTTCAACAGAAGGTAAGCAAGGTGAAGGTGTAGTTGCCTAGGCTGACAGTTTTCCAAAGTCATTTTAGAAATCAAAGCACCGTTTTCGCATCATAGAATAATTCTGATCACTTGTTTTCTTCTCAAAAACTGAAGTACCTGAATTAACACATGTGGAAATAATTGATAGCTGATGAATGTGCAAAGCACCTTGATTCTTTAATTTTTTTTTCAGAATCTATAATCTAAATTCATCATTGTTTCAATTTGTGCTTGATTTCAGAGTTACAATTTTTGCTTTTTAGAGCTTATGTAAATTTACTAGGCAAGGTTTTTGTGAAATCATTCTTTAATAAGAAGGTCTGGTGATATCCTAACTAAAGCTAATAATTGTGCCCTGAACCCATTGAGTCATTTTAATCTTGTTTAACATGTACGCCATGACCCTTTTCTTAATTTTCAAATGAAAAAATGAAATAATTTCCAGACTGCCTGCCAGGATGAGTCAACTGAAGAAGACACAGAGGATGATGAGGCAGAGTATGATCTGATGTTGATAGAACATGCTGGAGATGTTATCTCTCATCTTGCCAAGGCTGCAGGTGGGGCACAGTTTGCCCCCTACATGGCTGGGTTTTTACCTGAACTTTTAAAAAGATTGGTAAGATTTTATTTTGGTTATCACCATTGAAGGGCTGTGAGGAGAGTTGGAGTTAATTAGACTCTTACTTTGCTAGGAATAAGTAATTCAGTAATATTAGGAAACCAAAGGGGAAAGTTTTTAAGTGGCTTTTTAAATAGCAGTTTGCTTTCTCAGTCCATTTTTTTCAAAATATAAACTTTAAGTCATTTATATTTCTGCTTAAAATCTCTGATTTTCAGAAAAAGAACAGCAGCATAGCAGAAAAGTCCTTTGCCATAGGAACCCTGGCAGAGACCACAGAGGCACTGGGTCCAGCAATTGGTCCATTTGTCCAGCATCTGTACCCAGTGTACATGACTGGGATCAGGGACGAGGATGAGGAAGTGAGGGGGAACGCGGCATTTGCCATTGGGATCTTGGTCGCCAACTCTGGAGATGCATTGCTGAGGTGAAAACTTGTCTTGTGTTACATGTACAAATATGAAATAGTTGGGTGGTAAAAATGTTTTTCAAAGAGACTTGAGGCTCATTCCCAATGAAACTATTGATCTACATGTACACACTAGGTCAATCCAACTTCGCAGGGACTTTCGCTGAATGCAATCAGTTTAACAGATTAACACACCTCTTCTTGTTTCTCAGTGCACTCATACAATCATTGACTTTCCTGTATTCCACTCGATGCCAGGAGGCATGTTATTCTGTAAAACTGATTGCATTCAGCAAGACTCCCCCCAGAGTTGGTTCGACTTTAGTAGACGCCTTTAGGGAATGAACCTTTAAGATTTTTTTACCTCTGAAGCATGATGTTTCAACCCTTCACCATCAAAGGGCCTTGATCACATGGCTGACTTGTTGGTGCAAGTTACTGGATGAGTAACAGGGGTGGACAGAAGCCATCTTCTAGAAGACGGTCAGAATTTTTAAGTATATGGGCATCTTATTTTTTCTGTCGAAAGAGGGTCAAAAATGGAGGATAGATCAACAAAGATAATTTGGGAGACTGTCAGAAAATATCTCTGTCATCCATGAGTAAGAAAGTCATCCATGAGTAAGTCCCTGGTCAAGGTTGAATTTGATTGAGTTGTATGCCATGCTATGTTTAATGTTGACACTGTTTGGAGCACATATCAAAAACTAAGATGATGTAAAAAAAAAAAAAATCTAGATTGTCACAAGTTTTAGACAGAAGAATAATGAATAATTTTTTTTTTTAATTTTGATATTTCATTCAATATTTCATAAACTGCATTTCTTGTATTATTATTTTGTAGCCAATACCCTCATATACTGGAGGTTTTATACAAGACACTGCAGAAAGAATCTGTTCCCCGCGTCATGGACAACACGTGTGCTGCAGTGTGCAGACTGATATTTGCGAACCCAGAACATGTGCCTTTAGATCAGGTATGAAGGCATTGCCTCTCTGAAGTTTTAACAGTTTAAAACAGTAATAGTGTGATAATAGATTTTTCTTTTTCTGAGAATGTACCCGAATGCACTACATTTTTTGATTTGGTAACACAGTTCTTAATGTTATAGGACATCAACAATTTCAGTTGTGAGAATCTGCACCCCTTGTTTACATTTTGATGTCCAGAGAAAAATTTAAGTCCTTTTAAAGTCCATATTGCCTTTTAAAATATCCATGAAATTTGTATATTCAAGTTCATTTTAAATGAAATGTATTTGATTCTCACTGGCCTGTTATATTTTATTGTATTTACAACATTAATGCAAAACATCAGCCCTTTTGTTGTTATTTTCCAAAAATAATTTTTTATTGTCAATACAAGTTTGTGTATCTCATCTAACACCTGGTCCACATTCTGGGTTAGTTTCATGTCATGAGATTTTTTTCTTTGTCAGTAAAATGTATGTTTTTTTTTCTGTATAACCACTATTTTCATATGGATGGTATATAGAGCTGCTTCTTACTAATTTCTGTCGCAGAGTTGAATTAGCATATTATAAAAAAAGCATAGAGAATTTTTTTAAATTGAATATCATGCTTTAATGTGTGCAAAATTTATGTTACAGGTTTTGCCAGTTGTCTTGCAGTTTCTACCCCTTAAAGAAGATTTTGAGGAAAATGTTACAGTATTTTCATGTATTGGGAAGTTATATGGTGCTTATCAGGACAAAGTAAGATATCTGAAACTTAAAATGGTTTCTGTGAGATCATGATGTTAAAAAGCTATTATTATCTCAGTCAAACCCATTGAAACTTGAGAACAGGAAATGGTATCAAGAATTATGTCAAGAAAAGTTTCTATGTTGACATAAGTAAAAGAAAACTTATTTTTTAATCAACTAAAATATAGTTAATATCCAGCCTACTAAGAGAATGCAATTGACCAGTATAACACTAGGAGTATGTTATCCACTTGTAATTTCAGATTGTCAATTTTCTCCCAAAGTTGATCTACATTAGTGCACAAGTCATAGGCACAGAACAAATAAACCAAGGTAAGGGATGCAGAATTCAAATATCTGGGCCAAGAAATCTAGGTGTGTGTGTGTGTGTGTGTGTTTTCTCTCCTGCTACCACTTCAACCATTGCTGTGCTGGTACACTTTAGAGATTTTGCTCTCTGGACTACCATTTTGTTTTGAAACAGTGAAATATGTATATTTTAATTGTTTTGTCATGTTGTCTATTGAGAATGTGTAATTTATGTCATAATTATAGTATAAGTCATGAATTTGGATCATTTTGAAATAATGGATCATCATTATATTGATTATTATATGATTATATCATCATTATATCATGGATTGTGTTATATTTATGAATGATAGAAAAAAGCATGAACCACACCATTTTATTAAAAGACCAAATACTTTTAAGTTTCATAATCTATTTTCTATCCAGATATTGGTTTTATAAAAAAATATGTGCAAATTTAACAAGATCAAAAATGGGAGAGGTGCATGTGCACTTATATGTGTTTATATTTAATGAGAGAAAGAAATGAATTGAGATTGCGCACTATTTCAATTATTTATTTGTCATCTTCTAGATATTCAGAACCTCTTGGTACAAATGGTTGTAAACATTCAGATGACGCGAGCAGACGTCTTTCAGCAAGCGCTGTCCTCCATGCCTCAGGAACTGGCCAATAAACTGCTGACATGTGACCAGGCAACGTGACCAATGGCACGGCTTGTTACATGATATAGTTTTGATGGCCATTCATGGGCACATCATATATTTATTTATTTATTTATTTATATTAGTCCCCATGGTAACATGACCTGCTTGTGATCATGCTCATTATTTTAAGAGTATGTTGCTGGAAAAACATACTATTTGCTGTTTTTGTTTTGCTTATTATCAATACAGCCATTTTATGCTGAACCTTTAGAACAGCAGCAATGTATTTTCATTGTTTGAGTCATTAAATCTCTAGTATATAAGGGGTTGCATGTGCACACGTCATTTCTAGCATAGATTAACCGGACTCAGTAGCAGATGGCAGGATGGGCAGTTTTTGTACTTCGGGTGAGCACTGGTAAAATTGAGTGTTTTAAATGATAATTCCACTTTTTTAAATGTCACGTATTTTAAGTAGGCATGTTAAAGTATATGCATGAAGGACCATTTCTGTGATAATTGAATGCAATCCTCATCCTCTGCTGAGAAAAAAAGCTGAATTCCATCTCGCCATTTCCCATAGGGTTGCAACTTGCATGTTATTTTTCCATGCTCTATTTGTTGGCCAATCAAATTGAGTAACAATTTGTGATATCACATGCAACCCCCTTTCTAAAGGGGGACAATGCGAGTCTTCTTATGTCATAAAATATTTATATTTTAAGAGATGATCAGAATCTCGAATGGAGGTCAGCGTCGTGGCTTTCATACATAAATTGGGGTTTAGACCAGTATGTAACAAAACTTAAGTTTTATTGAAAATATCAATTCTTTTTCTCCTAATCACCAAGTTGTCCTGTCCAAAGCTATTTGAATAATCACAAGCCATTTCAGTAAAAGGGTGTGTTAATTATAATTTCCTCGACAGTTTATGATAGGGAATACGTAACCTTGACAACAACCAAGAAAAAAGTTGACATTTCTACATGATTATTTTTATTCTATTTATTTAATTAATTAAAAATTTTATTTATTATTATTATTATTATTATTATTATTATTATTTTTGCTCTGTGAAACGGCTTAATGCACATTGCATGCCCCTTAAGAGCAGATCCGGTTCATCATGCACATATTTATAATTACCTAGTACAGATTTGATTGCAATATCGTGACAGAATATTGATTACAAGTAAAGGCGTGCTGCCATCTCACACGTTCAAAATCAAGAGTGATTAAATGGAGAAACTAGAAAAGCACTCCGAGAGCGCAGATCTCCGCCAAGGCAGCGATTTTTGATTATTTTTTATTATTGATCCGGATCACCACCAAAAACTAATCATCTCTTCCTTGGCCCACTTCTGGCAGTTCCTGAAAATTTCATCAAAATCGGTTCATAACTTTTTGAGTTATGTTGATGACAAACAAACAGACAAACGGGGGTGAAAAAATAACCTCCTTGGCGGAGGTAATAATGAAATGAAGTTCCAACGTGAATTTATAACTGCCATTTTCTTTTTTTTTTTCAGAAGTATGATTTAGAAAATCTGTTTGCAGAAATTGATGTGCAATTAATTTTATAAACTTTTTAAATATAATGACTCTGTAGATGGGGTTTTGATGTAATAGAAGTCTGAAGATTTTACGCTGTCTATGGCAATAGGATTTTGATGAATTTTTCTCTATTGACGATTTTTACATTATGTAGTGAAATCAAAATCTGTGTTGTTGCAGTTAACAAGCTTTGCTAACAACTAGTTTTGTGTGGTGTTTATTAGAGAAAACTTGTCTTATTTGAAAATAAAAACAGTGCAATATGTATATATTATGTTACACGAAGCTCGTTTTTACCAGCTCCACTCATAAGCCTTCTACTTTCTATACATATACATCTGACTATGTATGCTTTATAGAATTCTACCTTTTCTGAAAATGATTCATTCTTACTCTGCAGTTATTGCTTTGGTAATGATAGGGTAGATGTGTGTGTTCATAAATGTATTGACTTTGAATACTTTAATGTTTGCAGCCTTGGGGCCTTTTTTTAATTTAGCAATGCGAACGTTTGTTTTAAGATTTTTATTCTTCAGTTTGCGGCTTGTGATGAAGGTTTTCTCGCGTGCAAAGAAAAAATTAAGCGGCTTTTCCGCCGGAGGATTGAGATCACTAATCTGTTTTTCAAGGAAGTTAAAATCGAAATGGGCAGAGAATTGCTTTGTTAAGAAAGCTCGAGGGAATTTGAACGTTTTGTACGACTGATATTATCGATGCTGTCACGTAGAACGGCGGTTTCATGTACAGCAGAGTTGAGTCTTCTAGTAAGCGTGGGATCAAATAGAAAAGTTTCCTCGGAGATACTTTTGTAACTTTCTCGCTCAACTTCTCGTATTTTAGTGGCTGTCAAAGAGCCAAGCTGTCGAATCTTTCTGTCTTTTAAATATTTCAATTGGGGGAATATCTCGAGAGGTTGCTCACTTTCGAGTTGTAAGCTAACACCAACAGTTTCTTGCTGGTCTATAAGGGAATCGAGAATAACGGTCTCAAAAATGATGCTACGGAGAAGTAACTTTAACCAAATTAATGTTGTAATATTGACAACTGTCAGATGCTATTTGCCTTATAATATAAAACCGGGTTATCCCCGTACGGTCCATGGGTTTCACAGCACCGATCTTGATCCGCCTGTTTATAGACAAGACCTATTGAACGTTATTGGATTTGTCGGGCTTCAATATTTTGCTAGCGTATACCGATGTTATAGAAGTCACCGTCTTGCTACGTTCCCCTGGTAGTCCCCGTGGGTTTTATTGACGTCATAATTACACCATATTTTTTGTTATTTTGATTTAATATGGCGATTTTACATTGTGATGTCTGGTGAATGTCTTACTTGATACGTATCATAATTATGCCAAAACTGATTGATTTTCTTTTTTTCTTTGGCTTTGATTTAGAAGATAACAGAAAGATGTATTAATGTTTTGCCCTTTCTTGTAATTCATTTTCCAATTCGTTCAGCTCCTGAGAGAGAGAGTTTGAAAAAAGTAAATGAAAGCGTTTCGTTTGAAAGCTTTATTTCTATACAGGCAGTAAAACAACAGCTGCAGGTATCTTGGCGCTAATGCTTATTTCTCAGAACACCACTTCTCATACCTATGTTTTGTCACGTTTCCAAGCATACCGACAATGTTTTTAACACAAAAACCTCCATAATGCATCATGTAGGTTTTGAACACGTTCAGTGGCTTTCGTTTTCATCAGAATCGCATTTACAATGATTTATGAACTTTGTCAGCCTGAGCGGCACAACAGATAACGGATTGACATATAGTTCCTTCTGTTTCATGGAGCTTAAGCTATGCGACCGTTTCTGAGATTAGAAAATTGAAAAAATGTTTTAGTTCCCCCTTGAAATATTTCGGAACGGAAGATACGGATGTACCGACACATTAGCACCCTATAATACCTTAAATGCATTTTGGAAAGGCAGCCACAACGTACTTCCGCATAGTAAAAAAATAAAACAAAAGTTTTCATAGCGTCACCAAATTCCACCAAAATTTCCTCAAGAAACATAGACCTGCAAGCTATAGTTTACATCCATTCTAGCACGTCATGGTTTAACCTTGTTGCATTCTCCTTGGACGTTTGTGTTTGGGACAGATCAACGATGGGCGAATATAATAGCACTGTCCATCTGAAAGTAAGTAGCATCCCTGGACATACGAGAAAAAAACTGAATGCCTGACCTTTCACACCCTCTACCAGGGCCGCAGATTAACTAAAAGCACGTTTCTCAATCGTGAGAATCGTGTCGTGAATAAACCAGAGATATATCTGTGAATATCTACAGAAAAATTCGTCTGTGACCCTGGTAGGGGGTAGACCTTTCGCAAACTGTCTTGCAGAATACAAGACTGTATATCTGAATTACAGTAAGTGAAATCTAGAATTCCACGTTGAGTGCGTACTTGACAATTTGGAGACACATGGTTTCAGTTCCTTTGGTCTTATTGCATTCTCATGATGCCGTGGAACATTGATTTCAAAATTTAACGTGCAACACCAGTCTTTGTCTCACTGCAGCCGTAACAACGTAGGGGCTGTTAATCCAGATCATAACGCAATGTCTATTAAGGCGGAAGGTCTGCAGCATCCCCATTCCATGACCATATACCATGCGCCTGACGCGCGTTTGACTTGCCGTGGGCATTGAAAGCAGATTGCGTAGAAGCGATTCCGTTATACTATACATCAAGTCCTGGGTAATAGTCGACAAATTCTGATATATTTCGCTTAATATCAGTGGTTAGCGACGGGTAGGGAACATGGTGAGGCTTATCTTTTTGAAGAGCAGTGAAATGGATTCAGCATAATGTGACCGATCACCTAGAAAAAGTCATTTGCTCAACCATTAACGTTTGCGGTTAGTCCTTCAAGGAGCTGTCAGTCAAACAGAAAACAGATTTTTTAAAAAATTATTTTTGCTTTGTCCAGACATTTCGACTTGGTGTCGTTTTATCCTTTTACAAAAAATATTTGCCCGGAGAAAGTAAGTTGGTTTTAGAACCAGTCAAACCATAAGGATTTGGCCAGGACATTGGTTGGAAAGAGTTTAACAACACCATAATGGACCCGGCAGGCATACACATCAAATAGGTCCGCTATATCTTCACAAAGCTTTCCTCTCTTGGTAGGCAATACACGTCGTTTTAGCTTTTTGTCCGAGAGTTCATTATAAATGTCCGTGCACTGCCTGAAGAGGAAACAACGCATATTTTGAAGCCATCCGTCGCACATGAATCTGTCCTGTAGCAGCCATCTTGCCTTTTCCTTTCGTATTGTGCCGCGCAGGAAAAGAGTCCACAGATGAGACATGACGCGCTCATATTCATTTCTTGAGTATCCCGTAAGTTGCTCTTTTTCTATATATTTTATCCAGGACAGAAGAAGAACCAAATTCTCTATGGCGGACCTCTGGCGACGGTGGTACTCGCTAAGGGGTTGCTCTAAATCGAAGTACACGCAGACCCATATTCGGAGATTCAGCGCGAATTCTGCAGAAAGGGCTGTCTGCTTTCGGGACGTGTCGTCTGCCAGAACAATGTGGTCTAGAAGTCGGAAGTAGAGGTCGCTATATTCCGATATCGAGAGAAGTCGTCCGTCTGGCCGCCGCCATTCTCTTCGTTCGAAGTCCAACTTGTATCCAGCATCGTTGGCTACTGCGTACAGCATGTTGATTTCGATATCTTGAATTTTTTCGTCTATCTCTCGTAAAAGCCGTGCGCTTGCGCTCTCCTCCTCTTCGATCCCCATTTTCAAGACTAACAGGTCATCTTGTGACCCTCTTGTGAATACAACTTTTGGCATTAATCGACGGAATTGCTTTCTACTTTGACCCTGGACTTGATGGAGTTGTTCCTTCTCAAAATTCTCATACTGAGAACTACTTGTGGGCAACGAAGCTCTGTGTTGAACCTTGGCGGGTATAGTTTTGTGTTTTGTTTCTATCTTGATCATAGCTTTCATACTCTGAAGACCCAGCTTTACTTGGTCAACACATCTGGCAAATTTTTTGTTGTCAGTGAACATATACCTCGACAAATTAAGTCCATCTTTCTCTGCGTTGAAGCGGCGTTTTACAATGACTCTGGTCTCTCGCGCGGAGAAGTTTCTTTCCGACGTCATGACCTGGAAGCATATGACAAGAATATCAGTGAAAATTTCGTTTAATAAACAATTATTGTTTTATGTCACATGGGTTGAATAATTGTTATAAAATACATCATGGCATCATGGCAAAAATTTTATTTAAAAATATCCATTTGGGATTTCCCCGTCAAGTCAAATTTCCCCCCAAAAAAGACCTTTTCTCAAGAATTATTGTTCGACTCATCCCTACACTTGGATTTTTTTCTTTTCTGATTAAACAATTCATATCTCAATGACTGACCAGCTACATAAAGCGCTGTGCCTTCCCGTACACCTCAGGAGGATAATGTAGACACAGAAAGAATAACTTTAGGACATTTTCAAACGTGCATAGTATACCTTCATGTGTTCCTTGGATACAATAAGCGCTGTGTTTCTGTGATCAGTGTAAAAGCCAGTGTGTTCCTGCACGGCGTTATATTTTACATGCGCAGTTAACTTTGCCATGCCACTTAGGATTGTATTGATATTTAAACATGTTCTTATCCAAGCTTTCGGCCTTCGATTATAATTTATATTTACCTTTACTAAAGAAACATGGAAGCCAAAACAACAACCGCTTTTCTTTTTAGTAAATATTTAATCTGTATCCTTTGCTTCTTTTCTAGGCTGAAGCCATTTTTTCCCACGTGAATCAACCGTTTGGAGTGTCTTGTACCAGACTTTTCTGTTGACAGATGGAGTTTACCTTGAAATTTTATTATTCATGAGACCATAAAACGGTCAGGTGTTTTTTTTTACGCATGCGTGTATGAATTATTGACTCGGAGATCTCCCAGTGCTTGACAGGTGCGAATGACAGATAACATGGCGCATTACGGTGTTGTTCAGACACGAACGAAAGTTAAGACACGTTTTAGGTTTAAATGAGGTCACCGGGCAAACGGGAATTTAGAAATGATAATTCGTGCTTCAGATCAAGTTGGAGCGAGTAGACCAGTGTTATAATAACTAACGGAGAGAAAAAAGCACGAGGAATAATTACAGTAAAAAAATAACAATCATAAAGAAATGAGTTAAAGTAGACAAAATAAATTACATTAAATCTTAAATCCCCACAGGAACCCAAAATGCATACCACCCCCACCCCCCACACTCAACACACACACATACACACACACACACACACGAAATTAATTATCTTCTGTTTTAAAGCACGCCCAGTTCAAACAAGGGAATCAGTTGGGCATGCTCTCTGGTTGTCTTATACAGCGTGTCAATATCTATTCTGTCTTTATGGTCATATTTTTGTCTGCACGTAACTTGCGTCTCTTTGGCTTTCGTGAATATTGCCGCGTTGTGTGTCACCGTGTACTGTAAGCACGCCGTGTTTCTCATAGCAATAATTCTTGAAGCTTGCCTTCCAGAGAAAAAACAGTCTAACAGAAACATTAAAAGATCACGGCATTGTTTGTTTTTCAAAGAAGTCGGTTTTCGTGTGAATTCGTACATTACGACATATCAAAAAAGCTTCGCCTCTAGGCCTACTGGTAGTTCTAAAACATTTCAAGAAAGGTTTTGATAATAATTTACTTTTAACTTAGTGACCAGGGTTTAAAAAAGGGAAAATGTCCACCTCGCTTTTTTCGGTCCCCAACAAATGTCAGGAATACAACAACAGATGTGCAGAGAGTTGAATCGACATTTAGTTTGTGATTAAAGCATTTCGTCCGAGTGAGCTCATACATTTCTATTCGCATTACTGTCCGCGTTGATAGCCATTAAACTTAATTAAAGCCGCCTCGCGTTACTGTGTGATGAAATAATCTGTTTGGTCATTTTTAGCGATGGACATTATGCCTGGAAAGTAGCTTCTCATAGCTATATCGCGTTATTATTTATCACTTATGAATTGTTCCCCGACCGCTAATATGATACTTTGAAACCCTAGAGAGTTCAAAGTTCATTGTACTTTGCAATTCTTGGAAAAAATAAGATCGAAACCAACGGTGCCGAATGGACGGAAAGTTTAAAGGGATGGCTTGTGGTTTATTGTCACGTATATAGGAACATGCATAGACTGGCTGTATTCAAAGGAGTGAAAGATAAACATAGAAAATAGTTGAATACACAATATATGCATTGCAATTAACACTTGCGTCTTTTTCATCAAGAAGTATTTTTCATTTGTTTTAATTTTGTTATTCTCTCTCTCTCTCTCTCTCTCTCTCTCTCTCTCTCTCTCTCTCTCTCTCTCTCTATATATATATATATATATATATATATATATATGTTATCATCATTACACACACACTGGACAATACAAGTTATTAACCTGAAGAGGCTGAATATAAGCAATGTCAGAATATCGATACAGTTGAATTGTTCAGTCACAACCGTTTCTTTTGTGAAATTTGATGTTAATAAAATGATACCAGGATCATATCATTCCACAGTCATTTATCTCCCCCAAAGAAATGGTTCAGTAGGGGTGACACTTCTATTGTCCAGTGCGTGTACTTTTTTCTTAGTCGTAGTTGTTATTTCTATCATTATAACTTGTGGTCTCAACGTTAAAATTTCTATTTCACGGGCCTCGCAGACATTTGCTGGCAGTTGCTGTTCGATTCAATTTAGGATTAAACTGTTCAAGGTTGGATGATCCAGAGACTCGACGGGATTTCCTGAATAAAATTGAATGAATAATGAATTAATTTGAGAATGTTTCGTATTTGGTACACTGCATAGTAACAGTATGACCCAGCTGTGGCCGTTTTCAATCAATACCAGTGTAGAATTTAAGTAGCGGCTTGTTCTCATAATATCCTGCTAAAAGACTTAATATACTGTCGCATACAATGCCAATTAGACGCACAATACGAGTGGTGGGTCCTTTGTAGAATATTGCTATTAGTACTAATATATATATATATATATATATATATATATATATATATATTGAACACTTTACTCATTTTCTGACTACAAGTTCTCATGTGGGCTTAATTTAATAGCACCTAGATAAAATATAAGTATGATGTAAAAGAATGAATCTCATGCATGAGACAGTAACCGAACTGATTCCATCACAAGAGACAGGTGAATATTATAGGTACAATTAATGTTATAGTTACTTTGCCACATGTTACTTTACACCCCCTAAAAAACTACTATGTAAATGAGGGCATGTACAACAGGAATTTGACATATTTATATATTAAGATATAGATAAATAAAATGAAAAAAGAAAAAGAAAGAATCTAGGCAGAGTCTGGTATCAAGCAGTGCTATAATACATTTGAAACACAGTAATTAGACTATTCATTGAATCCCCATCGGAAACGTGCTTAAGAGAACGAGTGATGCTTACGGAAACGACCGAGCGACAGCACGGAAACACCCAACCTACGCCGATATCAGCGAGGGACATAAAAACTGCATTAGATGGCTGCGATGAAGTGGACTGATATACGTTACCGTGGTTAAATTGAACGCTTGGGTTGATCGCAGAGACTCTGTTCTATCACTAGCTGTTATGAATCTTAACTGTCAAACTGTCAAGCGTGCGGGATTCATTTCTGTCCTCGAATTCTATTTTTCAATAAAGATATAGACAGAAGACAGAGTATGAGATGATAAATGAGCATGGTTGAGTTATGTCAACCACACCGCTGAAATTGCGTTTCTGCCCAGACGTTTCGGCCCAAGAACATGGAAATTAATTCCCCCCCCCCCCCCCAAAAGATGGATTTGCCTCAGGATTAATGCCTTTGACCGACTCATTGTCATAATGCGGACATGATACACCAAGGTCAGTGGGCTTACACTTGAACGTCATTCACAGGGCCGCCAAAATTCCAAGAAATCAAATGTTTAGGATTTGCTGCTGCACATGCGCAGAGCACTAACTTCAAAGGATACGACAGTCAGTCTCACGTGCGATTATCTGATATGCCTGCTCTCCACATGGCTTGAAACTCAAATCATGTAACAAAGATACCATGATACCAAAGCTTGTTTCAGGTGCATAGAACTCGATAAATCGATGAGTGGCTCACAACACATCAGATCGTATCTACCGACACCGTTTTCTTGGTACTTTGTTTAATATTTAAAACTGTACTTATAATCCCCTGCTAAATGAAGAACCACTTCAGTGTGATGCGCAGTTCATAATTCATATGCAGTACTCTCACAAAAAACATGACAAAGAATAAATAAATGGAAATAAAAAGGTAATCGGTGGGTATATATGTGTGTGTGTGTGTGTGTGTGTGTGTGTGTGTGTGTGTGCATTTGTGTCATATATAAACTAGCAATATCATTTCTTATCATCATGTACAAATATCCATGTAGACTTTTTGTGCAGTTACAGGTACAGCAAAACAACAGGTAAGTCAATTAATCAACTTATTAATCAGTGGCAAAGCCTTAACTAGGAATTTAAAGGCTTCCAAACGATTCTTTGTCGACTATTATTGCCACTGATGAGTTATAGGTCTGTATCATAAATACGTTACAAGCACCATTTTGATTATACTCTACTCCAGCGACTCGGAGTGATAAATTGTCAATAGAATATTGATAACATTTCATTGGCGACGATATATATGTAGCCATGTTTTCAGAATGAGTTTGACCTATAAAGCTGAAATCAAGCCTCAGACACAGTATCCATTCACCAGCAACTACTTATTCATTTGGGTGCCTTGCCCCCTCCCCCCAGTGTTTCCCTCTCCCCCAAATTTCCCCTCTTTCATCCCCAAAATATCCACAGCCTCTATATGCAGTTAGTAAATACACGATTAGATTTCTAGCATTTTAATTTGTGTCTTCTACCACTGACAGATAATTTTACTGAATAGTGTACAGTGAAGTGACATGCGTCACTCCCGAATCCAGGCACATCTCGGAGTTTCGGTATTTTTAACATAAAAACTCGCTCTCAACGCCTGAGTACTTAAGTTCTGGGTATCTTCTGCCTTCAAACAAAACGTCGCCATTTTTGTCATTAATCTGCATTTTTTTTTCCCGAAAAT